CATGGGGAGTCATGCTGGCCATTTTCAACATTTACTTGCCTAACGGGTCAGTTAATTCTTCATTTTTAAATGACTTTGCTGCCAAATGTATTGATCTCCGCTAATGATGATGTATCAGTTTTATTTAAGCTTTAAATCAATAAATCTTCAAAACTATTGAACTGAAGTACATTAATTTTATATCATTATAAAGGGAATTGAAAGACCTTCAAAATAAGGTATCACTCGACCCCCCCTTTCCATTTAAGATTTTGGGGGTGGTGTCACCCCCGCTTAGGGGGCTGCACGTGCTAACGTGATTTTTTGCCAAACTTGTGTTTCCCTCGAAAACAAAATCGACGGGTCTGAACGTTTTTAAAAAAAAACTGAGCTGCCAGTATATGCGTCTGTTTAGTTTTCGATGCGCCACCCTGTATATTGAAAATGATAGGACTGAGGACAGCACCTTGCGGCAGGCCAGCAAAACTATAACGTGGTTCTATTTTTTTGTTTGTATTATCTCTTACAAAAATTGCTCTATTGTGAAGTTAGTAATGATGTAGCACAAATGAGAAGGAAGCCCGTACATTTCCAACTTTGTTCTCAGCAGTGTTAAATCGATTTGGTCTTAAGCACCTTGTAAATCTAAAAATAATGCTGCCAGATAATTATTTTCAGAAAAACAACCTTGAATGCCACTAACAATAACAGCTAAGGGATCGGTACCTAGACCTTCCCTAATGGCAAACTGTTGATTTGGTAAGGGATGAAAACGCAGCCACCATTCCAACCTATTTTCTATCATCCTCTCAAAGGTTTTGAGAATGAAGGACACGAGAGAAATAGGACGCTTGAATCTGCTAGATGACAGTTTTTATTGGGCTTTGGTATCGGAACCACGACGATTTTTTTCCACTCCTCAATGATCTCACCTCTTAAGAAAACGTCATTGAATATTTCTAGAAGGTAATCCTTAGCATTCGATGAAAGGTAACTGAGCATCGGGTAGTGGACTTCATCATAACCATGGCATGAATTTATTGATTTACTAATGGAACATTCCAATTCGGCTTCACAAAAAGGAGTACTGAAAAGGTGACTTTGCTGTACTGGGGGTGGTGTTCCATAAATGGACTGACAAAAGCTGGTGCACATTTTCGATGAAATTCGTCTAGCCATGTAAAATCAGTACATTTAGGTTGTGCTTCTGGAATTCTTTTCATTATACAAGTTTTTTCCAGAGTTCTGTTGTCGATGTCTTTTTATCTAGATTTGATACCTATTTTATCCAGTTGTTTTTAGATTTACATTTGAAAAGGTTTTTTGTCTTGGCAAATATTTTTTTACTTGAAATTCGAGAGATTGTCAAACCTATTATTCAATAACTCTCGGTATTTAGACCAATTAGCCTTAGAATATCAGACGAAACTTCCCAATTTGAAATTTGAGCGATATCTGAAGTGCATATGGTTAGATCGGGCGTTGAAGCCTGAAAGATAGGGGCAGCAATTCTTGTTGGGGGACCAGAATTCATTATGACTAAGTTTGACTCCTCACATAATTCCAAAATCTGTCGACCTGTAGGATCCTTTCTGTATGATCCCCAAACAGCTGAATGGGCGTTAAAATCTCCGCCAATAACCAGTGAACCAGGAGCCTTAGTGATTATATCTTCCCAGTCAGATAACGTTGAATGTACGTTAGGTGGCTTATAAAGGGAAACAAATGAAACGTGATCATTCCCACTAGATATGCGTCAGCCGCAGACCATAATGTCGTTGTTAAAAGATACATCAAAGTAAATATGGGAGTTGCCTAATAAGAATAGCTACACCAGCCTTACCATCGCGCCTGCCCCCAAGGACCGCGCTGTAACCCCTGAACTTAACTGTTTGATTAGGGTTGAACCAGGTCTCGCTTATTAGAGCAATATCAATATTATTGTGTGAAAGAAAATGAGAGAGACTATTTTTATTCGAAATAGCGGATCGAGCATTCTACTGCATAATTTTAAGCATTTTAGTTGTTTATTAAGGTATGTTAGCTTGAGATGGAAACTGTTGGATTATGCTGCTCACAATACTTCCTATTCTATCTCTCAATGTATCTTCGCTCATGTTTTGTATTAAGAATTTGGTTGAAGATTTACATAAATTTTCAATAGTGGTTTTTTTTCACTAGGTACCAATATTGGACCGATATGTTTGACTCGAAATTACAGGACACTCAGGGCCGCTACTGAACTGGAACATTTCACCTGGGAATCTTACTGGGAGTGTATTCATTTTACGTTTTTTGTTGGCTTCTGACGTAGACGTTACAGATATTTTATTTGTAGAGTATTGATGCCTTTGTGAAGATCTATTAGAAGTACTAGGTGGTCTTGGTGTACTAGGTAGTACCGGGAAATTCGATTGATCCATATTTAACAAAGGTTGAAAGCGATTATCATTGATTACGCAACTAGCGTATGAACCAGTAATTTTATCCTTGGACTCCATAAATGGCAAATTTGAGTTGGCCATGATTATTTTAATTTTTTGTTGTTCCTGAAATACAGGTCAGGTGTTGGAAATACTATTCTGGTTGACTGACTTGCAACGAATACAATAACTATTGGTTTCGAGACAGGAGCGGTTTTCACGTTTGGATTGACCACATGTCATACATCTAGAAGTTGAGCTACGGCACTGGTTTGATACATGACCAAAACGTAAACATTTAAAGCACTGAATTACCTTTTGAGCGAACTGTCAATAGGACACTATTGATGGTTAATTCGTTTGGGAGCACATTACCATCAAAGGAATTACTGCCATTTGTCTGGAAACCAAATTATCCACACCATATTTAACAATTTTTCTTTTGAGACGACTTACGCTAAGGACTGTTACTGTAGATGATATATTATTCTTTAAATAATCTTCGTCGAAGGAGGTGTCAACTCCTTTAATAATACCCTAACGCATCAGCAAGTTGTTCGGAGTATACGCTTTAATGTTTTCTGTTTTAAGGTTTTCATTTGAAATTATTTCGTTTGAAGCCTTTGTCGAATTAACTGTCACTTTAATCCTATTTTGTCCGACTCTTGAAATATTGACAATAAATTTACTGAGGTTTATTTTTTTGTGAAGAATTCGGCCTATAAGCCTACCAATTTTCTCTTGTTCAATTTCTCCATATGTGGGTAAACATCAGAAGAATACTTATCCGATTGCAAATTAAAGAATCGAGGTAGGGGATTTCCTCTAGTGTGAGTAGAATTGCTACCCTGAGGGTTTCGCAGACGGTGGCCTTCATTGTGAGATTCCGTTACTGAGGTTAATTCCATGTTATCTTCCCCGAAGGTTAGATCGAAGAATTTGCGTGCTAATAATATGTGTTGATGGTAATTCCATTGGATTCTTGTCTCAAATACAGTTACTTGAGATTCAAAGCTAGAAATTAGTTGCGGATCCACTTTTTCTAACAAATTCTGGAAATTACATATGCAAATTTGCTGAATTTTAAAAATGAGAGAGATAAGAAATAATTTATTATATTCACTGTACACTGTCGAATTACAAGTCATGTACATGCTAACAGTAATTACACACATAGCGGGCGCGCTGGTGATTTCCCGTAATTCTCCTCAAAGTTTTTGAAAACACAAAAAAGCGTAACAAATCGTAATTTATAACTTTGAACATAAACTGTCTTCAGAAAGAACAACATATAAATAACCCGTCAGGCACAACTAATAGATATACTTCATTGGCAGCATATTCAGTAATGATTTTCATCCTGATCCAGATGCAATCTTGCTGTTCTACCAACTTTCTTCTCAGAGATGTAAACTATAGACTACTTGGTTTCACAAAACAAATTCAACCAACAATGCGTGTAGTTGAGTTATTACTACATAGATGGATGCTCACAACGATCCTAGTGAGCAAACGTGTATTGCACCCTAAAAACTATCTAGTAACCCCTATTTTTGACACCGGAAACGTAAAGAGCGAAAAATTCTACGTTCAAGTCAGTCCTTGACTGAACTTCAAGCTCATTTTAGGCATCCAGGAGGTATGTAGAGAACAGAATATATAAAATGTTGCAGAGCAAAGTTTCAAGGTTTAAAACGGACATCTAATGGTAATCTTGAACGTGACCTTACTCACGAACTTAAAGGAGGCACGATGATCGAGTATTTAGCAGGTCATGCAATTACTGTTTTGAAAACAAAAATAAGAGTATCCTGCTAAAAATTCATTTAATCTTCAAATAACTTTGACGATTAAAGTCAAGGTGACGGTCAAATACGTGATAGTGACATTGAGCGTGAAATGTTTTGCTTTTTATATTCCCAAGAACACATAAGGAGTGTAATTGAAAATTTATCTGACCTTGATATGACATTCAAGGATGGTCAGGTTTATTGACTAGGATGTGCTTGAATGACCGCAATTTGTATTTCGCGACTTAAACATATATATATATATATATATCTCTTTCTCCTGTTAAAAAATCATTTGATATTGAAAGGATCAGGAGGTCAAAGTCACGATCACGGACATACCTGAATATAAAGTTATCTGCTTTTTAGGTGTCAAAAATAGGGGATTCATTCTAAGAAAACTATCTTGAGCTTCCAATGACCTTTCCATAGTTTTTGGGTACTCTCAAATACCCAGGATGGTCACAGTCAAGGTCGCGAGCAAAGACAAATTTGAACGTAGAATTTCTCGCTTTTTACATTTCTGGTGTCCATTAAGAACATTGTTTAAAATGGCTTTGAAGGTCATAATTACGGTCATCTATCAAAGTCACAATTAATACATTTTTCAAAACTGACAACCTTTTTTTACAATATTTTTCTCTAGAGACATTTTGGTTCTATACTTTTTAGACACTCTATATATTGCTGGCGAAGATTAACCTCACTTTCAGTTGTTCTTGTAGGCCTAGGCGTCACCCTGAAATTTTGATAAACGGGAAGCATAAGAAACAACTCCAGTTATATTTGTTGCTATATTTTCAAAAATTCATCCATTGGTGACTGAGCAACCCGCTAAAAACATATCAAATTTCGTAATTGTATTTCTTGAATTGTTCTTTAATCTTAGGTGTGTAGTGAAATAATTGTAAGTTCACGTTTGCTTAAATTTAATGTTGATTTGCATTAATACGTATGAAGTAGTCAACTTACTTGACTGAAATGAAGTATTTCTAACTCTACAGGATCATACGAATACCCATCCGAGAGGAAACTAATGAGCCCGGGACCACCATTTATTTCCATCAACATTATAATGGTGAAAAACATTAATTGTAGTCATATCTCTTTCAGACTGCGTCCTATATGCAGTTGGCAAGCCAGTATATCATCGCTTCACGGATCGACAGCATGGGTGTTGGATGCGGGATCCCAATCCAGCCACTCCGAAAGATGAACAAAAATACTGGGTCACCACCGAGGATAAGCCTAATGTACTTTACGAATTTGATAATAAGACCATGTATAGGAGAGATGCATTCACTAAGTAAGTAATATGTGTATACCCAGAAAACTAAATAGTAATGTTTAAAGACAGGCTATCTACATATTTACAAATGACGAAGGTAAAATGATTATAATAGTTATTCACACAAATAATTATAATCTGTGAATAAATCAGTTATACACTAAAGGGAATATTCTTGGATTTCGTTCCACAGTCCAAAATATAATAATAACAATACTCGATCTATAAGATTAACAAAGGATTTGGTACATCCTACAATATGAATATAATTCTGTATGATAGGTCGGTAATGTGGAAAAGGTAATAGATAGATTAATATTAGTAGGTATATAAAAGTTTTTATGAAAGCACTCATGGATATCTTTTTACCTCCTCTGAGTGAGAAGTAGTGCAACGTTTTTCGTGTGCGTGGATATGTAGGTAAAAAAATTCTATTTCACGGGCTAGACTCCAAACGGCTTGACAGATTTTGAGATTTTGACACATGAGGTGTTGTTGAATTCGTTTTTCTTGAATTGTCCTGACAGAATGAGTGATACTGGACATTTTTTAAGACCAAAATTACGGATTTTGAACGGGAACTTCAGTTTTGAATTTACTATTTCACAGGCTACAGCCCAAACCGGCTTGATGGATTTTAATATTTGAGATGTGCTTTGATTCGTCCTTCTAGTACAATTAAAACTTACTGCAGCCGGTCTTTTTAATTTTCAAAAAATGTACTTACTTAATGGTGGTAATCTGTGTTGTATTATCTTTGAGATAGGGATGGAATCCAAATAATATTATGTATAAATGATCTAAACATTATGTATTTTTTTCATGTTTCAGCAACAATTATCTGTTCATTTTTATATTTGGTATTATGTTCACGATTACTGTAATCAAAAAAATTGTTCATATTCAAATGTTTTGATTTGATTGAATGACTTGGAATAGATGTGATGGTATGCGAACCCAAAAGGTTAATTGAGGAGTTATTAGACCATCGTTGGGATCAATTCTGCTTTAAAGCTTACATGGAAGACAGAAAAAAGGTTATGTGGTGTAGACCCTTTTATTTGTGGGAGGAGCCTAGAGGTTTTCAAAAAAGTAAAAAGAATCGCTGTCAGCAGTTCATAAAGGATTAGATTCAGCACAAGTTAAATCCTCTGAGAAAAAATAGCTACAAACGTGTACAATAGAGCAATTTTGACGGATCAAGTCAGTCAAATACGCATATAAGACTAGTCCATAGATATTCTCTCGCTGCCCTACTGGTAGTTACCGTCCATCTGGCAACGTTGTCCCTTCCCACATCGTCAGATGCGGCAGCGTAACGGAAGCACCGCAACAGTACGAGCAGAATAATCAAGCAGACCGTTACGCCGGTCGTTGAGCCCAGATAGCAGAAAGAGATGCGTATCAAAAATATTTCTCTATCATTCTTAGTTTTAAGCAGCGATGTACGGAGCCTATGATGTGGGAAATATAGCTAATAGGTGCGTAGAATCACCGGGGTTGAGAGCTTATAAATATACCAACAGCAAAAAACTGAGATATATCCTCCCCACCTCTCTACAGCCTCCCACCCCCTAATTTTGCATGATTTTACAAATTAAGGGCCGTCAACTAAATACATACCCCAATGGTGCATATTTTTCGTACTCAACTGCCTTTAGCGGTAACACTACAAACAAGTAGCAGTTTTTTTGGAATATTCTGAACACTGCATATCCTCAAACAGCATAGCCAACAAGGTTTTCTCCTTAGAAAATTGAATTCATGAATATATCCAACAACAACAATGTCAAACGTGACCGTCCCTTGGGCTTGTCGCATAACTCTGAGCAAAATATGGTTTATTCTCTCAGAGGAAATGTAATGTATCTTCTCGAGGCCGATATCGCTACATGTTGATGCTATTCGACTGGTTTGATCTAGAATAACAAATAGATTCAATAAATATTGGAACTAGATTAGCAATTCCCTTTACTTATTCGAAACATACGCTTTTAATGTTACCCTATAATGACCCTAGACAAGGTGTGCGTCTAATCCAGTTTCAGTGGAATACGATTAAAGCAATGGCAATGTTAATGTGCAATTATTTTGAAATTCCTTCACAAATAAAGTCAGAAAAAATAGAAACGATTTCGGAACAATTTTGTGCAGCTTCCATTGTGGCTGGAGATTTTTGGCAACCTTGTTCCTAGATATGCCCTAGTACCTACCAGATCAGATGTAAGCTCTTAACTTTAAGGTAAAAAACAAGATTCGCTCCTGAGTGTATGGTAATGGAGCCTTTCTGCCAAAGAGTTACTGTTACTCAGATCTTGAGAATAAACAAGATACCAAACAGTTCAAAGAAATGTACTCGACAACATACTGTAATTCATTTCTTATTTTCTAGAAAATACTACCTGGATCATCCATTTGATGGAAACGCACACGTAATATTTAATGGATATTTCTTTTACAACGTTAAAGACACCAGGCGGATAATAAAGTATCATCTACAAAACGAAAGCACTATATCCCTAGATTTGCCTGGTATCACGAACCAAACGACCAAACTCTATTCTGGACAAAACAATACTGTAGATTTCAACGTAGATGACAATGGATTATGGTTGATATTTGCTGTTCCGAATTCGAACAATACAGCTGTTATGAAGGTATGTAGTTTTACAGGACGATTTAGCAGACTGCAATAATCAAAGAACCTGAATACTTTAGGAGCCAAGCTCATAATATGGTTATATACGGTATTACGTAGTTTTAGAGCATACCTTTGTGTAGATTTGAGCAGCAGTGCCTACCAAAGTAAGAAACATTGGCGTGCATTCTTTTCTTTGGAAAGAAAGGATATTCAAGTAGCCAATCGTACTGGGTATGCTAAGTTACAGCAGAGCAGTAATGCTATTTGTGAAACAGGGATAATTTAAACAAGTCAAAGAAACGAAAGTTAATATTTATGAAGGGTACGGCATATGAACAATTCTGCTCAATTCGTAATTTTGGCAGGAAAAAAATACGACAAACTGTCATGAAACAGCAGCAATGGCGGAATATCTGGTAGTGAATTTAGTGGGACCCTCTGCTTGAGCTGGGATTTTCTGAGTAGTTGTTGCGGTTCGAGCAGATTTTTGGGTAAAAGTAAATGCCTCGTTGAACATTATATGGTAATTAATGCAACATTATCTCTATATTAATCGAACCAAAATAATTAGTAGTGATTTAATTGATTTGATATAACAGATTTTTCTGGTGGTTCCTTGGCAATGTAAAACTTTTCATAACGCAAAGTTAAAGACCTTCCTCTAGAAACTTAAGATTCAAAATGGAAGTAGATACGATTCGAAGTTGAAGTTTGGGTTGACGCAAAAATGTTGTAAATTTTTTATTTTTCATTGTTGTGTTAGTTACAAAATGTGGTTAACAAACCTCAGATTGGGACTGAGTACTCAAAAAAACAATAAGTGAGATGAAAGAAATCAAAATTGCACCTCAACTGCAGTAAAAGTTCAATGTTGAGATACATGCCCCCTCGTACTGCCGATGACTATATAAAATAAAAATAATTATCGATAAAAAGATTGCCTCTATTCCGCCTGAACTGCTTTTTGCATTTTCCAGAAACCTTGCGGTATAATACATTTGTTTTTTTTTTAAACTAACGTTATTTAATAATATTTATATTTTATCCTCAACCCGTGCCAACAGCTGCATAAAAGTAGTGGCATTTAATTAGCTTCATCTGTGGCATAGAAATTCGTAGCACCTTAAATCTTGGTGAGAAGATATTTTAATAACAATAATAATAATAATAACAGATGGCACTTTGCACTGTCTTACTGCAATATACCTTATGTCCTGGATAGAAGATAGCTGCCCAGCTTTCGTTCATCGACTTACATGGGACCAAACCTTGACCATGCCAATGAGTTGCCAAATAGCACGAATGGGCTGTCCATGGTTGGCCGTCTGAGGTCGGACGAACTATATTACTGTTAGAATATTTTAGGATCTATGTTCATAGGAATATTATGTTATTTTTATATATTTCATAATTTCAGTCACATATATGTTGTCATTGTATGTTACTCACTGTGTATAATGTACCAAACGACTGATAAACATATTGTGCAGCAGTCCTTGAGGGAAGATATTGGAAACTATTTCAGTCTGAATTGACATTTTTGACTAATTTTTAATGACAAACATGAATGCTCATTAAGTTTTGCAACATTTCAGTAATGAATTCAATTCTAGGTTAACACTGAGACCATGAAAGCCCAATATGTATGGAATATTAGTTTAGAGCACCAGAAAGTTGGTGAGATGTTCATAGTATGCGGAGTTCTTTATGCTGTAGACAGTGTAACTGAAAGAAATACAAAAATCAGATTTGCATATGACTTGTACAAGAATAACCTCCTCGATGTGAACCTGGCATTCACCAATCCATTCAGGAAAACAACAATGTTGGGATACAATCCCAGGAGCCAGGTAAGAAATATCGATCAAATAACAAGATGCGCGTCGCCCTATTCAACATGTGTCAAAATGAAAAGCTGATCATTTGGTATCATTCAAAGTATCCCATATATTTAGATGACAAGTGTACCCGCACGGGTATTACGTATCTTGAAAAGTGACATTATGGCGATTTTTTTGTGACATTATGTAGGTTTTTCTACAAGATGTTAACTTAGGCCCGTATCGTCAGTCGTCCCTACAATTTTAGGGTGCGTTTATGGCCTCCTTGATTGTCATACTCTTTTGTCTCCTTCAAAAATTTCTAGATTATACTCGTCCCGTGTCAGCGCTCTCCTATTGTTAAGATATGTTTTCCTTTTAAATTGTAGGAAATTTCAGGCTGAAAAAACATGATAAAACTCAAAAGCAAGCACAATTTAATGCAAATAGATATTTGTGACATAACCTCAAAATAGAGTGCTGACACGGAGAAGTAGAAAACTATGACAATCAAGGAGGCCATAAACGCGCCCTACAATTGTAGGGACGACTGACGATACGGGCCTTAGCCCTAGCTGATGGACACTTGTTGTGAACCCGTTTTGTAGTTGTACGTGTTGCCTAAACGTGATGATGCTTCAATTATTAATGTTTGGCTCTGATGTGATCTAAAATCTGCTTCAGAGATGGAATTATTGGAGACCTAAGCTGTAAGTTGTATACTACAGCTAGAAGGAAACGAGTGCATAGGTGCATAGTTAGGATTTGTGCGCTAACAACGACAATGCATAGATGCATAGTAAGAATTTGCGTGCTAATAATATGTGTTGTTGATAATTCCATTGGTTTCTTTTCTCAAATACATTTACTTGGGATTCAAAGCTAGAAATTAGTTGCGCATCCACTTTTTCTTATTCATTTGGAAATTGTATACATATGCAAATTTGCTGAATTTAGAAAATGAGAGAGATAAGAAAAGAAAATCCCTGGTTGGTAAAGGAACAGGTGATAAAATATGCTACAGACAGGAATATCGGTGAAAGTGAAAAGTTTGTTACATAATTTTTTATTTCCATTCATTTAAATTTTATAGAAATTAATTTTGCGATGTCAATAGAAAATACAAATTAGCGCCTAGATGTGAGGAATTGCGATAATTTTGGTTCATCATGCGTCATTTCTAATTTTTCTGGGTTATGACGTAATTGCACACAACGCGGGCACGGCGGCGATTTCCCGTAATGCTCCTCAAAGTTTTTGAATATACAAAAAAAACGGGAGAAATCGTCATTTATAACTCTGAACCTAACCCGTCTTCAGAAAGGACAACATATAAACAACCCTTCGGGCACAGCTAATAGATATACTTCATTGGCAGCATATTCAGTAGTACTCGTAATTTTCTTACATAGCACCTGTCACTGATTATCACTTTCTTTCTTTCACAACTTCTCAGAGAATACTACAGACTACTCGGCTTCACAAAACATATACTTGCTCTTTGCAACCAACAATGGGTGTAGTTGGGTCATTCCACAATAGATGGACGCTCACAGCATCATAGCGAGCAAACGTGGAATGAAGTATTTGACCCTAAAAACTACTTAGTCTGCAAGATGACATTTTATTGTTTTTTTACGTTTCATAGGTTTTTTACATAATAGCCGTGCCGGTACTGCTTTGTACTTCTTGGGACGTTGATGCGTCTTTGTGATATGTTTGTATAAAATAGGTAGGGAAGTTTGGGTATGTGATCAGAATCGTCCAGTAGATATCGCGGCAAAAGATCATGCCAGCATTTCAAGTCAGCTAAAAAATAAGTACTTATTATGTTCGGTGAAAATATTTTTCATAGTTTGCTGATCTTCAGCAACTTCATAATAGTACTAATTTAACACAGCTGGGCACTCAAATATAAGGAACATTGAATTAGTTTCTAGCACTGTGTGATTTGTTGTTTGAAATTTAATGTGGATAATTTTTTTTGATTCAGAGAAACAAAAATCTCAACTGTGTGATTTATCATCGCAACACAGATCTAATTTTGGCTCTACGGATAACAGACACTTCATCAGTGTGCACTCTTGTAGATAATCTATCTATTTGTTTCAGGATTTATATTCCTGGGATAAAGGCAACCAACTGACTTATCCTGTAAGATACCACGATATTGGATACAATGCTACAAACAAGGATGAAAAAAGTGAACTGCTAGAAGGGGCACGATAATATTCTGCGTTGATAAGGAAGATTATCAATACTATTCAAAGTGTCCTTTTTTACTGATATATGCAAATATGATTAAATGTATGGTACTGAAATATTTATAGGATGGGTACTGTCTTCGAATGATATTTGACTCTGAAACGTTTGATTTGCGATTAATTTTTTGTTATACTTTGATAAAATGAAAAACCTTGTGACTACCGATGACTAAATATATATATAAGGTTAGATCAATAGGTAAGTTCTTCCTATATTACTTACAAACAGCTTAGGATGGACCAATAACTCAAAAGTTTCACACTTGCAGAATGTAGGTGACCTCTCCATATGTACCTGTAATTTATTCCAATAAATATTATACGATCTTGTCTTCAAACAACGTGTATTTTCCTCTCACCCACTGTTTATCACATCTTAGAAAAAGTGCAATGATAACAAAAAGACATATGTGTTGTCAGAACCAGTAAGGCACTATTTGCGCTTTTCATGAAAACAATTTTTCTCAGATTGCAGCAATAAGCATGTCCGTACACGGGGTCTCATTTATTTGGAGCTCTTAGTGAAACTGTTTGTCAACAATATTTGACATCTAATTATAATAGCTCTTGATATATGACCATATACCACACTGAATATTTCGTCATGAAACCAGATAACCTCACTGAACTAGGCTCTAGGTATACTCAAATACGTATACATACATATTATCACGTACATCTCGTATGTCGCCGCGCTGCAAGCTATTATATAGTTGTAGTCACCGTTCTTGATGGATACGTCATCGACGCCATATGAAATAAGTAAGCAGATCGAGTCTCCGTACCATGTGCGGAACATTGCTCAGACTAATCTGGTAGTTACGCATGAAGTGGTTTACAGGGGACCGCTGTTTTCATTCTCTTCTTGAGAGTACTCTAATAAATTTAGTACGAGCTGTCGGCCTTCTCCATTGATCGTATTTCTGGGCACTGTACATTTATATTGAAGTCTGATAATAGAACAACTCAAATTGCATGCCGATGTCAAGTAAGTTGTCACTCTGACAAATATGATAGAAGAGCACTCATACGTAACGACAGAGTTCTCGAGACAGATACACTCAACTAAAAAACGTATGTTTGAGCTTACCCAACAAACGTTCACACATAGGGGTGTGCTGCCAAAAGCGGTGACGACAACTATATTTTTATGTGTTACTCGGATCGAATACCAAAGATGCACAGCTTGTGCGACCGATAGGCAAAATGTCTGCTGAAGTTATTTTTCTAGATATTAAGGGCAAATGTATGGGCACACCAATTGGATTTGGGGTTTAAAGAAATTCATTTTGCTTTATCAAGTTACCGACGTTTTGGAAAAAATTATTTCCTTTTATCAGGGCTCTAAAATGATTAACTTCACAATTAACAACTTAAATAATAGAATTGAAGTAAACTATACTAATTTTGGTTAAGACATTATATAGCTATTCAAACTCATCTCTGAATTTCATTACCAAGATAGCAATTGCCAACACAGATGAAAAAAATTAGAAAGTAAAAAAGATAAAATGATAATATAGATATTTAAAAAACGAATAAACAGTACTTTCCGTGTTCGATTATCATAAAAAAATATACTCCCCTATTACTTCGAATCTGTGGTGGCCAAAAATAATCCAACGTTTTGCACATTTTAGATATCATTTAGACTGCAAGACTATTACGAGGTATAGCTACCTAAAGATTGTTGGAAAGTAGAAAGGTATTTCTAAAAAGAAAAAATCTGAGCTATTCCTTAAGTGGTGGTGGCTATTGTGTCTTCATGAAATTAAGGATGTTATTGAACATAATACTTGAATTTGCTATGTATCATTAATTTAATGAAGACAAAATAGTATATAGCAACAAAAAGGCGAAACATCAAATCTAACAAAAAATAGCTCAGACATTTACTAACTATCTAGAAATACCTTTCTCTTTTCCATCAATCTGTGTCCAGCTATACCTCGTAATAGTCTTCTGTTTTTTATATTGATCGGTTAAAATCTAAATGATATCTAAGATATGCATAACGTTAGATTACCTTTTGACCACCATAGTTTGTAGTGTGTTCGCTAAAGTTCCTTATTTTTTAATATTCCAACACGGAAAGGACTTTTTATTCTTTTTTTTAAATATCTTTCCAATCATTTTGTTTGTTTTATTTTTTTTTTATGTATATGTTCGGAATTGCTATATTGTTAACGAATTTTTGGAATGAGTTATAAATAGCTCGACTTATATAATGGCTTAACCAAAATAAGTATCCTTTACTTCGATTTTATTTATAAATTTTTATTTTAGAGCTCCCAAGCAGAAAATTATTTTTTCCGACGTTATAACTGTATTTCTATGATCTCCAAATACAACTAATTACAAGAAATTTATATAAAACGGGTCATTAATTTGCTAATATAAAAAATGAGATATAACCTCCCCCACCCCCTGATTTTTTACCCCTAAACATTTTACAAACATGATCAGAGATGAAATTTAATCGATTTATTTTTTGTTTTTGGCCTTTTTTCTCCATCGAAATCTAGACCAAAGTTTTTCAGCCTTCGTGTTGTAACCTTGAGTGAAACTTTCATTTTCCATTTTCCAAGTCGAAGTTGGCTTGAGAATTAGCATATAGACAGACAGACAGAGCCACTGACATACAGGCGAAAATAAGTGATGTACAGGTATATCACAACCAAAAAAGATATCTCATTTTCAAAATTTTTGGCGATAACAGTATTTGTTATCCAGTTTGGCGTGAGTAGTAAATAGCTATATTTAATCCATATGTCAAATGGCTTGTTTTGATAGCTCTGGTATCCAAATAGTTAAAGAGGAACTAAAAATCATTTTTTATCATCGAACAGAATTCATCTGATTCAATTGTTAAAGATGTTCAGTATAAACAATATCGTTTTGTATTCCGGAATCAATCAGTAACTGGTCATAATGTTTGTAATTGTTTACGCTCGAAGTAATTTAAAAGCAGCATTTTACTTCAAATGCACTTAAAACTTCACATAACCTGCTTCTATCGCTAACATGCAACGTAAGAATCAAGCTTGTCAATGCTCCAAGCAGTAAGTATGAATTTGTTTCGAAGAAAATGAAAATGGATTTTATATTATAGACAGAAAACAAACATATTGTGCGTTATTATTATTGTTTGTGGTCTTAACTAAAATGCAAAATTGCCGCTGTAATTTATTATTTCATATTTCAATCCATCATCTTCTTGTACTCCATTTGGTGTTCGTACATTTTCAGAAATACTTTATATTTTTTGTTATGAAAATCCACGATGTCTTTGTTTGGAACCACTACTTTTCCATTGCCTCCCATAGCTTCAATTGCGCTTTTCACATCTTTGAAGTAACCAGATGCACATGCTCCTAAGATGGCAGCACCTAGTAAGACGGACTCTTCTTCTTCTGGGCATACAACCTAAAAAAAATGGAACTTGATAATTTTAACGTCCACATATAGAGGGAAATCCGAATGCCACTGTCGAGGTACTGTGAACGAGATAGAAAGGCCAGAAGCGTAAGAATACGTATGTTAGAAAGAGTGCGCCGATGGAAACGCGACAAACCGCAGCTGCATCACTTGGGTTGCTAGGCAACATGGTGCTTCTATTATTTCTAACATATGCATTATGTGTTTCTTGCACCTCTCTCTCTCTCTCCTGTCTGTGGTGTACTAAATACTACCATGAATCTCGACAGCCAGTCATTTATAACCTTTTACAACAATAACGAGTTGAATACTAAGTCCTTATTTGAGAAGGTTCGACTTACTATTTACCTGTTAGCTCAGATATTCAGCATGCAAACATTAAGGCTTACCGGTAGGTTACATACGTCGGCTTGAGATTGTGTAAAGATTGGGTTTTTGCTCAATCCGCCGCAAATAAGGGTTGACTTTATATCCTTATATCCTGATCTTTGTAATGTTTCCAAAATGTGACGAGTACCATACTGAAACAATTAATTGATGTAATGTTGACATGTCATATTGTTTAGGTATTCTGTTCCTTACCGAAAGTGCTTGGACTGTTGCCAGATACAGTATTGCCAAGCTTTCCTCGTCATCAGATAATGTGAGACCGCAAATCTAAAAAGAAACCTCGTGATATTAAAGCATTGAATCTCAGATATAGTTTTGTTTTGTAATATGTATGAGTCGGGTAATTGTCCACAGTCCTGTAAGCATACGTAAGTACCATCTTAACATCTTGCGAATAATGTTACATAAAAATAGCTGATTTTCCGAACTCACCATACCCTTCAGAGTTGGATCGGCGATAGGTGAACGGTTGCCATGAAAATCTGGATAAACATGGAAGTCCTTAGTCAGAAAGGCTACCGATTTAAGTTGCTTTTGCTTTGCTAAGTCTTCCAGTACGTTGTTCAGGTACTGTATAATGTGTCTGAAATACGAAGTTATTATCATTGGATACCAAGAACACTGAGAAAACGTTGTTCTGGTAAATTAAATAACTCATAACCTTCAAATTATTGGGTTTAATTAAATTGAATTTTCTTGAACCAGTTTAATTGAAAGTAATAAACTATTAAACCAATTTCCTTGAAAATAGCAAATCATGTGCCTGTTTAATTAAATTGTTTGATTGGATTAGGTAATTTATCTAGAAAAGGTATATCTAAAATATTTATCCATTTGAATAAAAACATTCGAATTCCTCAGTTTCATTTAGAATTTTCACCTGGATCTTTATATTCGAATGTGGCCATTGATGGTGTAGTAGCTGTTAAGTGGATCAATAACAGTGATCAAGTAAAATACTCAAGCACAAAACGCTTAGTGACCTATCACCATGGTTAGAATATTTCTCGCTTCCAATAAACTACTCTTATGACATGACGAATGTGAAGAACTTTGAAATTTTATTTGATTTCATTTGTCAGAGCACAGTTATAATATATACTACTCAGTAAAATGCAATTTGTTCTTTTAAATTACATGTGGTTTCCCAAGATCATTTTAAATCTAAATAAAATAATTCAACAAATCAAGGCAAACACATCTAAGCTAATTAAACAAAAATAGCTATAATTAAGTTGTTTTACTTTGGAGCAGGTAAATTAGTCGTTCATTAATTTTAAATAAATTGGTGTAATCAACCTAAGTAAACGGCATGACAAATTTGATTAAATGTTTACATTTTGATTCGATTAAACTAGTTTTAAGCTAATTGAATTTGTTAGATATCACATATGTAGTTGATTAAATTTTTTGATTGGCCTATACAAAAATTTAACTGTTTTGTTTAAATTTCTTTCTCACTGAACCAAAATTGTCTCAAAAGGTGATAGCAATCTAGTATGAATTGGCGTTTACAAAAATAAGTGTAACTACTCACTTGCCTTCCAGTTTCTTTTTAATTCCCTCGGTAGCAGGATGAGTATCTATAACGTGGTCCAGTAGCTTGCCCGTTGCACTTTGGCCACCTTCATTCAGCCACATACCTGGTATCATGGCATTTTTGTAAGGACCCCATACGCCGGGAACAAACGTTGGACCATTAGATACGGCCATATGGCATGTGGAAGTACCGCATATTAAACCTAAAGAGAAAATCGGTATAATTGCAAATTATTGTTGAGTTGAATAGCGAATGATGATATATTTGATGAAATATGAAGAAGACAATAGCTACTAAAAGCTGCGAAATGAGTAGCACACCTAACTGTTGATATCTTATAATTCATCTTTCTAACCTAGTTCCCAAATGCTACTACCGCTTGTTAATTTGGACGGATCTTACAATACAATGAAATACTGACATTAGGACGTTATTCTATACAGGACAAACTATCTCTCGCTACCAAATATAACAGATAGTCTAATCATATTAGCAATTTTTTTCGAAATAATTGTAAAGTCTGTTTATATTGGTGCAAGTTGTTCAAGGGGGTATTTAAAACATGGACTCATAAAATGCGCACAACAATTTTTGTGGGAAAACTTTTTGTTTGACAACAAAGAATGGGAAAACGCGTTTTTTGTGATTCAAACGGAAGTGTCGACAGGAGCATAAAAACTTTTCTTATAAGATTTTTAGGTATTTATGAGACCTACAAAATGAGACCACACGTGAACAGATCCGACTAATATCAAAATTGTTATGACTGAAAAATAAGATAATTTATCATGACAAACAGCCAAGCAGCCGAAACACATCTAGTTTTCAAACATCGAACAAGTAGCAAATACTGACCTACTCTAGTGTGAAACTTGGTATCCACACAACCAGCTTTACAACCGATAAGTCCAAGACCACCTGCATGGGCATCAATCATTGAAGTACCGACGGGAGTTCCTGGGTTTAGTCCTAATTCAGCCGCTGCCCTTACAGAAAGGCCATTTCCTACTGGAGAACCTGATAAAAAATAGTAATATATGTGAACGGAAAGACCAAAGATTACATGCAGTATTCAACTTTATGGCTTCAAAGACATCCTTCTGCCTTGGAAGATGGAATGCAAGTACGGTTATTAACGGTTATTTAGTGAGCTGGTTTGGCGACGTTACGTTCACTGAAATATTCAGCTTAATATTTCTTGAAGTTGGCAATGTTGATGCTCTATTGATTGATACAAGACCATCTCTATTTTGTCGTGATCAATTAATGAAACCACACATATTGAAAAATCTTCCTCACGTTTAGCTTGCTCAAGCTTGACCTTTCAAGGTACAAAGTAAATTTCAAAATTATCTTCTTATAATTTTGTACATCGGGAAATAAATTTAAGGCGTTACATTAACCAAAGAGGTGAATAATACCATTAATCTTGGATGAACCCAGTTTCCTCGTATGAGTTTGGTGCATAGGACAGACCTATAGATTTACCTGGTGCTAAAACTACGGATCCAATTTTCTTCCAGCCATTTTCGGCAAGATCTTCTAATCCCAATTGTTTAAAATAACTCGCATTCCATGCTTCAGTGCCATCTTCTGACATTTCATATGTCCATTTGCACACGAGAGAACAAGACGACCTAGAAAAAAATGTTTCATTATATTTCAAGTTTATTAAACTTTTCGTGATTTCCTTTGTGGTACAAAAAATGGATTCACGTTTGCCTTTCTGCAGGAGAGAAAAAAACTGGAAGAAATACAGAGAGGCTCTCACAAAAAGGCGTCCTTCGAAGTAGAAAAGCAAATGAGGCGAATGACAATTAAGACCGATAAATATATTTTTGTATTTCTTAGTAAATGCTTTATGCTTGAAACGTTCATGCCGACCCTAGCATTGAGCTTAAGAGTTTCAGATTGTTTAGGCGTTTGTATAATTTTAGCATACCAGCTATCAACAAAGTTGCAAAAAGGTTACGTTAGTCTTAGATATTTGCAATCAATATTCTTGACTTTGTAATACTCACAATGGGAAAATAGAATGGAATTCGTGAGCTACAGTTTCCCAAATAAGGGCGTTTATCATTATCAGATTTTTCAAAACAGCAACCCATAGAATTCTCGTGGTACAAGATTCATATATAACAGTGGTAACTCGCAACTAAGCATGTATCAATAGTTTAATAATTTAGGTAGATATATTATTTGATCCCTGACTTACATTCGTTTCGCATATTGATGCTGTCCTCAGCAAGGGCTATAAAAGTTTGGGGTTTATAATCGGGAGTTGGAGAGATTTCAATAATGAGAATCCCATGATCCTGTTCTACAATTCATTTGTTCGATCCAACATTGATACTACTCTATACTCGTAATATGGCACCCCGTATATGAAGTTCAGTCTAATAAAATCGAAGGTATTCAGAGGTGGTTTGTGAAATATTTTTGGCATAAGGAAGATGGTGCGTATCCAGAAGTTGGCTTCAGGCATGATGTATTACTTAGCACATATAACCTCTGTAACTTGGAGAAGCGCAGAAACTATGCTAGCTGAGTACTTTTATATAAACTGCTTAACAATGTGGTATATTGTGAATATTTATTTAGTAAGATTCTTAGTCATGTACCTAATGCTAAAACGCGATCCAATTCAAGATACTTTTACTTAAGCACAGTGCGTTGCTTTTCTCTCCGATACATGTAGTATGGAACAAGTATGAACGTGCAAGAAATGCTGTAGAATTTTAAGAAATCTTGTCTTAAAGTTGATTTCTGTGTCCCTATCATTGAACGCTGTAACCGTTCGGATAGTGTATATACGAGTAATAAATAAATAAATGTTTTCCTAGTTACCTAGAGTCACACTCTGTTGCTCTCCATGTTAGAAAATCGGGAAGGTCAAAGAATAACCCAGCTTTATCCCAGCACTGCTTTTTCAAATTCCTTTTCAACCATGCTAATTTAGGTGTCTCCATTTCAGGTGAAATCTTTCCACCAACATATTTGAGTACTTGATGATTCATTCGGTTTATTTCGTCGGCTTCTTCAACGGCTCTGTGGTCCAGCCACAGGATGACATTCTGCTCGTTGCTACCTAAAAAAATTACATCAAGCAGATTCTTACGGCTTCGTTAGAGCTTTCAAAGAAAAGGGATGAGTCAAGTCGTTTTAAAATACGGAATCGAATCATGACTAGGTAGGTTCACTTAGGTACGATGAATCTTCGACCTCTGCATATCAAGCCATATAAAGCAAATCTATCATATTTCTGTTTCCATGGCAGATGTAGAGAAAAGATAGGTGACTTATTATGTCTAACAGGTGCATAGTATCACTGAGATCAGCATCCTCTTAATAATAGAATTTCTTTCACTGACACGAAATATGCAACAATTTGCTACCATTTATCGCATACAACTTTCAATCTAAAATTTCCATCCCTTCCAAACAATGTCTGAAAATGAGCAGGACTATCTGGAACACCGACTATATATCGTCGGTGATCTGGAACTTTTTTCCACCGATATTATTTCCGCCGACTCCGAATTGATTTTCAAAATATACGACTACCTAAACGATGCACGTGTTACACTCGAGATAATATTCGAACTTCGGTTTACAAGTTTTCTGTTGCCGGTTTGCCTTATTTCGAATTATGAGCACATATTATACTCCGGATCTTTTTCATTCAATTTTACCTTTGGTACCCGGATCAGAAGCTTCTTAATGGTAAAACGACTTTGACTAATACTAAAGACATTACACTCTACGACTCCCAAGTTTCAACCCCCACAAAAAAAATCCGAAAATGATGGGGAGTATGTGATACGTCAGAAGGCGATTTTTATTTTTTTCGCATTTTTGCATTAGTTCCGCCACGAGTAGACTGATTTTCGAAACTTCATTTATCCTTGACATAGTAGTAACCTTGTGTGGAAATTTCATCATTCGATAAACGGCAATAGTGTAGCTTCAAAACGTTTCCAAGATTTGTTTTGTTTATGGTTTATATTTATAGAGACCATTTTTAAGACTAGCTAAATCAACTAGTAAAAGGTGATGAATACGGTGAAAAATCTATTTTCTACCATTCTTCGTACAATTAGCTTCCGATTATTATACCTATACTATAATAAAATCTCATTTACTCCCTGTCAAAGAGACATCAGCGTCAGAGGGAGATAAGTACACGGGCATACAGGACAAGTGGATAGAAGCGGGGATAGTGTGCTCATTTTTCTTTTGACGTAAAGTATATGAGGTATGAATAGGATTTACACATGATACTATACTAAGTGACATATAAATCCGAACACCCAGTTTAAATGGTTTTATTTTAATAAAAGTTGGTGAATGTATTTATCTTACTGTAAATAACAAGTGAAAAAATTTTCAGCCTTATCAGTTGGACATTCCAGTTTTATATTGCTTTTTTTAATTCACTAACGCTCTAAAAATGAATATTTCAGCCGCAGTAAAGAATCAACGTTGGCGGATTTTGATTCTTGACATCCTTTACGATCGGTTACGATGCCTAGAGTACGGAGACCTGTACGATTTCGTCAACTTGGTGAGTTTGATAGGGGCCGTATAGTGGGACTTCGGAAAGCTGGAGTTTCTTTTCGGCCAATTGCAGTTAGAGTGCAAAGAAGTGTAGACACTGTGGTTAGCTGTTGTCAGGCATGGTTTCGAGAAGGCCGTACGCAAAGAGCAAGGGGCACTGGACGCGGCCGTAGAACAACAGATCGTGAAGATCGTCGCCTAAGATTATTGGCCTTAAGGGACCGTTTCTCCACTACCAGGTCCATTGCAAATGAATGGTTTGCAGAACACGGAAGACCTATTGGCATGCGAAGTGTTTACCGACGAATGAGAATTTTTGGCTTGTTTTCATACCGGCCACACTGGGTCCTCCCTTTAACTCGAGAACACCGACGTAATCGCCTTGAGTGGTGGAGACAACGGTCACTCTGGGATCAGGAAGGGAACAGTATTGTCTTTAGTGACGAGTCTCGATTTTGTTTAGGCATGCACGATGGTCGTGCCAGGGTTAGAAGGCGACGTGGTGAAAGGAGGAATCCACAGTTTTTTGTTGAAAGACATGTTCATCACACTGTTGGAGTTATGGTTTGGGGTGCTATAGCTTATGGTTCCAGGTCACCTTTAATCTTCATCAGAGGTAACATGAACGCGCAGCGTTATATCCACGAAGTTCTAGAACCCCATCTTTTACCCTATCTTGACACACTGGCAGATCCAACTTTCCAACAAGATAATGCCCGACCACATGTTGCAAGAGTCACAATAGACTTCTTTCAACATAATGATGTCACATTGTTACCATGGCCACCAAGATCTCCCGACTTATCCCCAATTGAGCACGTGTGGGATATGATGGGTAGGAGATTGCTCAATTTGCAACGTCCTCCTCAGACTCTAGAAGCACTTCGAGAGGAGTTGGTGGTTGCCTGGAATGAGATACCACAGGAGGACATTGACCACCTGATCAGAAGCATGCCTAGGCGCGTTGGAGAATGCGTAGCACATCAGGGTGCATCCACACATTATTAAAGGTCAAAGGGCTTTAAAGCAGTGCAATCATTTTGAAATTTTTATCATTTACTTATTATGCTTCATTAAGTACTTATACAAAATTTTATTAAAATAAAACCATTTAAACTGGGTGTTCGGATTCATATGTCACTTAGTCTATAAAAATCAAGCGAGAGAAAATAAGTCAAGTTTAATTACTTTTTCGGGTGCTTGAAGGAGTCGAGCTAAGTTGTGGACCACGGCAGTGCTGACTATTACTATGTAATAATGTTTTTCAAAGTAGATATATCTTTGCCAGCTTTCTCACCTGGTACGTATCTGCCAACTTAGCAGATATAGATTGATAGATAAAAGCATGCATACATATAAATGCTACTGAATGCTCCAAGTTTTGTATTTGAGAAAGTAAGCAATGTCTGGCAGCCCTGACATCTTATACTACAGGGTGGCGCAGAGGAAACGCACGATTTTCACCTAAGCATAACATTTTTTATTTTCAAGATAACTTTGTTTCAGTTACAGCTAAATAAAGTAATGATAGTGCACTTTTAAACTAATGATGGTAAATAACGTCACTCAAGTGTCGCCCTGCTTCGCGCTCGCACATCTCCAACCGCTCTTGAAAGTTGTGCATTACACGTAAAATCATTTCTTGTGGTATTCTTGCAATTTCTTGACGAATAGCAATTTTCAGTTCCTGTAACGTACGAGGCTTGTGAGGGTACACTTTATCCTTAAGGTAACCCCACAAAAAGAAGTCGCATGCGGACAAATCTGGGGAGCGTGGGGGCCAAGGGACATCGCCGAAACGGGAAATCACATGTTCAGGAAACATCTGTCGAATCCATTCCATTGATGCTCTCGCTGTGTGAGCTGTGGCACCGTCTTGTTGGAACCACAGCTCTCCCATGTTTACTTGTTGCCGTTGAAGTTCGGGTAACAGAAAATTTTGTAACATGTGAACATAACGTGCTGAAGTAACTGTTACTGCTCTTTCTTCCTCTTCAACAAAGTAAGGACCAACGATACCTAATTTACTGATTCCGCACCACACAGTTAATTTTTGACTATGCAAGGGTCGTTGGTGTAGCTCTCGTGGATTTTCGGCCGCCCAATACCTACAGTTCTGCTTGTTTACATATCCTGTTAAATGGAAGTGTGCTTCGTCACTCATCATTATGACGACGTCAGGATCGTCAGCAAAAATGGCCCGCATTCTCGCACAAAATTCTCTACGCTGTGCAAAATCGCTTTCCGTTAGCTCTTGCACGATCATTATCTTGTACGGATGATATTGTAAATCGTCATGCAGAATGCGTTGTAACGACCGACGGGACATACGCAGAGTTGGAGCTTGGCGCCTAGTGGACCGTTGGGGACTATCAAGGACCGCTCTTCTCACTGTTTCGATATTGCCTGGAGTCCGCACGGTACGGGGAAGGCCAGGTGGCTTCCTCTTCATTACGGATCCAGTACTTCGAAATGCTTCAACCCATCGGAGTATTGTGTTTCGATCTGGAATTGGCCCGTGGCGTTCAACATTGAACTGTCGACGGAATAAACGTTGCACGATCACTACAGAATCATCGTTTCGAAAAAATTGCTCGACGGCAAACACACGATGCTCCGTCATCCACGGTGCCATGGCTGAAACTGCATCGCATGTGTTCTCTGCTGGCGGTGCGGCGAGGTCATATCCCTATTCTGTGCGAAATACCATTCGGTCAGAAAACATGCGTTTCCTCTGCGCCACCCTGTATAATAGTATTAAGATAGACATTGGAGGCGATGATGTGAGGTATCGTGGACCTATGTAGATTTAAATGTCTACGAATTGAAAACGCGTTCTTTATCTCTCAGACCATATTACTGTAGATGAAGTTGAGAAGGGTGATTATTGTCATCATTTTTTTCATCATACCTGAAGGACTGACACTAAGAGGTCTTCCATCTTTATCAAAGCAAGCGAGGGAGCATGTTGCGTCAAATCCAATGCCTTTAATCGCATCTGGGTTGGCATTTCGTGTCACAGTCTGAAATAATGGGAAAAGTATATACAGATTTTCGATAGAATTATTATTAAATGTTTCGTATACATGATTGGTACCTCGTTTCTAAAAGCAAACAACTTGCAGAATGAGAAGCAATGATAAAAAGAATAATAGCATGAAACGCAGAAGCTCAATCATTGCCATTGTGAAAGTCTGATTGTCAAGAAAGCACGACTTGTCTTAAGACGGCCCTGTGCAGTACCGACGACATCAATATTGATATAATTCCTGTTAACCAAGATGCCATAGCATAATTAAATCATTGGATGTTAGATAATACCACTACTAAACATTACAGCAACGCCAACTGTTATCATTTTATTGTCGCATTAACTGAGCTAGGAACATTGTTTTTGGAATATTTATTTATTGCCATTAATCATAGCAATTTGATGGAGGTTAAAGGCGATAAAACATGGGCAATATTCCATAATGGTATTGATTAAAACGAACAAATACTCTTACAGTATATGCGAAATTATTTTGATCTTTTTAACAATACGATACTGGGACAGCTTGTCGTAAAAGTGTTACGGTCACAGATGGATACAGATACATACACACAATAGATAGACACACAAATGTCTCTTTTTAACAAACCGTTTGTAACTATGAGGCACTGGTGTCATCAAAAGCAGGATGAAAGAAATCCGACTTCAGCTTCGGTTGCATTGCTCTTGCGTACCCACTGAAGCAACTGCAAAGCAACTGGAAGTCTTGTTTTAAGGTTGTGGCCAAAGCGTATTACTATATACTCAGCCATAAGTAGATCAAATATAAATTATCTTTTTTCTTTCTTAAAAGCGCTGATTGAAAGAACAATCGCATAATTGAAGTATTCCATAAATAAAATCTATAATCAGATCAATCAGCATACTTCAGCTTAATATGCAAATCACATAAGTCCACTTTTTGAAGAATATGAGATATTGGAATTTTTAGTTGATACTATGTGACGCGCATGTCCCAAGAATTCCTCATAACTCGCCAAAAACACACATAACACTCGCCCTTGCTCTGACCGACAGTAACATCACACAAGTCCATACAAGTTTAAAAGTTTAGTATTTTGGTATGCCTTAATGCAGCCTATGCATGTCTGCTGTTGGCGGTAGTATTTGATACTTGTGCATGTTCAGCATGGAGTAAAACTTTGATTCAGTGGGATAAGATAACAGTACCATGTTGAATCAGGATTATATTAAATTAGATGTTGGATAGCGACTAATTGTCTTGTAAACGGAAACTACGGAGTTATGTGATTTTATCGTTCGGACTTATTTGATTTGATCATCATCGATATAAAATATAAACACTTCAGACATGGGATAGTTTTTCCATCTCCTCTAAAATCAGTGGTATGGGACTTGTGTGTTTTGCATATTAAGCCGACGATATCTCATGAACTGTTGACTGACTTGTCATAGTTCTTGTAGCCACTGTCGCTATCCTGGGTTGTACTGGAGTATTTTTATCCTATTCAGTTATTTCCAATAATGAATTTCAGAATGTCGCGAACAATCATTAACAGTTCAACAGATCAGTTCAGTGACAGCCTGTGGTAGCCAGAAGTTCGTTGTTAAAAAGAACCGACTATAAACGATTTTATAGGTTACGGAATGTTATTTGTCATAATGTTATCCACAGATGACATCTGTCATCAATTGATGGGCAACTGTAAGCCGATTGCAATGACAGTGCCAACAACCGTTGAGCAACTGATCACGTTACCACCTCTGTGGTGAGAATGCTTGTATTCAATTACAGAGAACGGTTCCTTACGATGGCGATAGCAGTATGCGATGCTAATTTTTCACTAGGTGGCAGTGGTCACCATGTTCGGCCATCGCACTGCTTATACAATCCAACTTTGATGGTATCTAGTACAAATCATTGAGCTAAGGGCTAAGACATAGGAAAAGCAATTAAATTCCTTCATCATTCAGTGAGCTTAGTTTATGGAACTATTTTTTGTTTATTAAAATAAATGAGTATTTAACTATTAACTAATGACTATGAAGTTTTTACCTTAACACATTCTATAACAGCCTTCCAAATATCTTCTGTGGATTGTTCATAGAAATCTGGTCGATCGTTCCATGTCTTGGTGCTCCTAACAGCAGTGGCCTAGAAGCAATGTAGCAGAATCATCGTTTGAGAAATTATTTAATATTCGAAGTTTGAGTTGACATGCGTAGGATTCAATTATTTTGATCTTAAATACAATTCCTGAGGCGACATGCCAGTATTTATTATATGTAGCGTAAAGGTATGATAATATTGACATAATATATCTTCTTCTTAGATAACATTATGACCCCAGTAGTTTTTCATGTCTTTAATACCGCAAGGAAGCATGGTATACTAAAACATCGCTCTCACGCTTATATGCACTCTGAGATGATCTAGGAGTTCTCATTGTGTGCCTAAGGACATGAAAATTAGTCTAATCATATTAGCAAATAATTGTAAAGTCTGGTTTTATTGGTGCAAGTTGTTCAAGGCGGTATTTAAAACATAGACGCAACAAATGGGTACACCAATTTTTGTGGGAAAACGCTTTATTTGACAACAAAGAATGAGATAACGTGTTTTTTGCGATTCAATCGAAAGGGTTGACAGGAACGAAAAGATTATCGATCCACGATTTTTAGGTATTTATGAGACCTACAACATGAGACCACACGTTAAAAGATCCGACTAATGGCAAAAATGTTATGGCCGAAAAACGAGGAAAAATGCAGGTTTTGGCACCTCTTGGTCATGCGACGATTATTTCACGCAACAAGTTTAGTTAGTTTTTTAAGAATCTTTAACTGTTTATCCTAAAATACCTGTTTTCCGGCCATCACTACTAGTTTATTGAGCAATGTTCGTTCAAAGGGTATTTCATAGCAAAATACACGTGTTTGCCTTGCCGATATAAATCACAAACCATTCCGAAAGATAAATGTTATTTTTATGCGAAAAGCAAAGCTTTGCTTCTAAACAAATTCAAATATTTCGTATTTTGCTATTATTCGGATCTGTTCACATGTGGTCTCATTTTGTAGGTCTCATAATTACCTGAAAATCTCATATTAAAAGTTTTTTCGTTCCTCTCAACACTTAGATTGAATCCCAAAAAACACGTTTTCTCATTCTTTGTTGTCGAATAAAAAGTTTTCCCACACAAATTGGTGTACGGATTTTATGCGTTCATGTTTTGAATACCTTTTTGAACAACTTGCAGCGATAAAACCTGACTTTACAGCTACTTCGTAAGCCAGGGGTATTTTTATCTAATATGATTAGTCTAAATAAATATCATAATCCAAACTTGTGCTCAGAATTTCCCCCAAGAAGATTTCGAAAATACTAAACATGATATAATCTTCTAATGAATTGTGCCTGATGACTGAATCCATACTTCTGTTATTCGCTGTAAGTGCCATGCTGAATACTATCAAACTACGATTTACCTGGATACGTCCCTGCTTAGAAACCAGCGCCGCTCTCACGCTGCCCGTACCAACGTCTACACCGATAAACTGTGCTGCCGCGTCGCACATGATCAACTGGACTCAGGTTTGGAGCTTACAATATGCAATATGTGATGATCCTGATGTGTGAGCTCTTGGTGATAACGGAGGACATGCGTATTCCGCAGGAACGATATGCCTGGAAAGGCTTCCTGTGGCATTGACGTAATACTTCTGTTAATTAGTAGTTTGTCATTGTCAATTAAGTCCAACACTGTGGATATCTTAAAGTTCACAGGTGGTTCACAAGTTCATTTTAGTCACGAGTATTTTGTTTCAGATGCGGTTAGGTCTACTTGAAAAATTAAATTTTTTGAAGCTCTGTGGTAAGCTAAATTTGTAAGCGATGTGCGGGAAGCCTAAACAATAGGAAGAAGACTACTTCGCCAAATTTACTTGACATCATATAACTGGAATAAATAACACCTTAAAATTACAAGCACAATAAAAATTATGCAGCTTTCATCTTCGTATTGAATGCAATACTAACGTAGTAAGTAAGTAAGTAAGTAAATTAGTAGTAATTAGACTAAACAGGTGCATCTTTATAAAATACAATTAACCCGCATGGCTATTATGTAAAGAAACCTATAAAACGTCAAAAAATAAAACAATAAAATGTCTAGGTAGTTTTTAGGGTGCAAATAGTTCATGTCACGTTTGCTCGCTATGACCGCTGTGAGCTTCCATCTATGGAGGAGTGACTCAACTACACGCATTGTTGGTTGCAGAGAGCAAGTATATGTTCTGTGAAGCCGAGTAGCCTGTACTATTCTCTGAGAAGGAGTGAAAGAAAGAAAGTTGGTTGAATAGCAAGATCGCTTCTGGAGGATTATGTGTATTGTGTGAGAAAATTATTACTGAATATGCTGTATATGAAGTATATCTATTGGCGCTGCCCGACGGGTTATTTATGTTTTCCTTTCTGAAGAGAGTAGCTGTCTACGCTTATTTTCATTTCTGAGGGCAGGTTATGTTCGAAGCTATTGTTTAAGTAATTAGTAATGGCGCATTACACATCAAACATTTTCTAAATGCCTCACATCTATGCGCTGATTTATTATTATTATTATTATTATTAAACAACAAATTCGAGTTGAGTACAAGTACTATAAACTCAAACACAAAAATAGATAATAGTGTACAGACAAAAGAAATATAACAATTTGACAATCTTAGCACTACTGAAGTAGACATATACAGAATGGGAACAATATGTTAAGAACTGCGGTGTCTATCGTAATTGTTTTTGAAACTGTTGACGGATTCCGAGTTCACTACATAAGATGGAAGACTGTTCCATGCATCGAAGACACGGTTTGAGATGAAGCGCTGACGAGTAGAGGTTCTAAAAGCTTCCTTCTGCAATTTGAAGTTATGGCCTCTGAGACTGTTCGTTGCCAGACGAAACAGATGCGACATGTCCACATCAAACAAATTATGCAGTGCTCTGAAAGTGATGATGAGATCTCCTCGTACTCTTCTATCAGCAAAAGCAGGCAGGTTATATAGCTCGAGGCGGTCTTCATAACTTGGCCTACGTATGCCATATGGCATACGTGTTGCACGACGCTGAACGGCCTCTAATAAGCTGCTATCGCGAACAAGGTTTGAATCCCATACCGGACCAGCAAACTCCAGTAGGGGTCGTACGAAAGTTGTGTATAAAAAGGAGGAGGTACTAACGGTGCAACCGCTAAATGACCTTTCCATCATATATAGCAACCGCTTTGCCTTAGAGGTTATGTTCTGAATGTGCTCCGACCAGGTGACCCGGCCATTAACTGTCAGACCAAGATCTATATGATGAAGAACAGACTCTAAGGTATGTTTGCCAATCTTATATGTTAAGTTAGGATTATTCTTTCCCAGGTGGAGAACGTAGCATTTCGATAGATTTAAAGGCAGGAGCCAGAGTTCTGACCACTTTCTGATCAGCTTGAGGTCTTCTTGAAGCACAGATGAGTTCATGACAGTGTTATAGACTTTAGTATCATCTGCATAGATGGAACACATAGAATAAAGTCGGGTGGGAAGGTCGCTTGTATAAAGAAGAAAAAGTATTGGCCCTAGCACAGATCCTTGAGGAACTCCACTAGTAACACGATGACTAGAAGAATAGGCGTCTCCAACACGGACGGAGAAAGATCTGTCTAACAAAAAAGCTTCAATCCATAACAACAAATTTCCCCTGATTCCGAGATGTTCAAGCTTGTGCAGGAGCCTTTTATGCGGAACTCGATCGAAAGCTCTGGAAAAATCCAGAAAAACCACGTCGACCGGTTCATTTGCGTCTAAAGATCTGGTCCAATTGTCAATGCAGTGTAACATGTTGGTGATAATTGATCTACCAGGAATAAAACCATGTTGGTTGCTAGGCAGCAGGTTGTTCTTGAGCGCAAATGTCATAAGTTGTTCCTGGACGATCTTTTCGGCTATTTTCGCAGCTATAGGCACAAGACTGATAGGACGGTAGTTTTTCGCAGATGTTTTATCTCCTTTTTTGTATATAGGTGTCACAGATGCAGTACGCCAACAGGAAGGAAGGATGTGATTTTGAATCGAGGAGTTGAATATAATGCACAGGGGGTATGCGAGAGCTGAGGCACAGGACTTCATAACGGCAGAAGTAATCCCATCCTTTCCAGGGGACGAACAAGTTTTCAGTTTAGTAAGGTGCCTCTCAATGTCCTGAGGTTGAAAATCTATGCTACAGATGGTCGCTAGGCATCTATGAGGGCTGGATAAGTTCGGAAGAGTACCATCACCATCAGGTTCATTCACAAAGTCTTCACTGAAAGCATCGGCAAGAAGATTGGCAGATTTTTCGGCATCAGTATGTAGGTGGCCATTGGGATCACGGATTTGTGGGGAAGAAACCTTAAAGTTCAGGGTGGATCTCAAGTATCTAAACAACTTCTTCTTATCTTTCGATGATACAAGATTTTGCTCATAATTGCGCTTGGCGTTTTTCAAGTTCTTCGAAAGGATGTTAGAGAAAGATCGATGAGATACATAATCCTGTTGTAGTCTACTTCTTTGGAATCTTTGCCATAACGCTTTTTTATGCCTCAACATCCTTGAGAGGTTATGGTTAATCCAAGGCTTTCTTGGGTGACTGAATATCTTCTTTGTGGTCGTATGCCTAGTGACTTCCAGTTGGATTCGACGAGAGAATATATCCCACATATCTTCAGTGCTACGTTGTGCAAGCAGGTTGGACCAGTTTATTTCAGACAATGCTCGATTGAGAGCACTGTAATTTAATAGCTTCACAGTTTTGAAATGTCTACGTGATGGAGTTTGTACATAGAATTGAAGTGAGGTCAATAAGGTACAGTGATCCGACTTGCCAAAAGGAGGTAGGTAGTCTAGACTGGAAACAAAGTCAGGATCATTTACAAATATCAGGTCGAGAGTTCTGGGAGTATGGCCTTCTCTGAATCTCGTCGGATGATCTACGAGTTGGAGGATGTTCGACTTACGCATCAAATCAATATAAGGGGCAGAAGGAGAGTTGCATTCTGGTAATGTTGTCATGGGCCAGCTGATGTCACGTAAGTTGAAATCACCAGTTAACAGAATATTTGAATTCTTGGTTAGAAGTTCTTCGATGAATTTACACAAATAAACATCACCAGCACAGGGACGCGGTCTGTAGATACAGGCTAATACAAAACTGAAGTTTGGCCGTGTTAGTTCCAAAAAGAGACTGTCGATACCATCGAAGCTCTTGGAGGTAGTAGTTATTGTGAAATTGTCAGCGAATTCGGTACGTACATAAACACAGACCCCACAATACCCCGGCGTGCGAGGGGAATCTACCCTATACAAACAGTAACCAGGCAAATTAACAACATAGTCAGGTATATTAGGGCTGAGCCAGGTTTCTGTCAGACAAAGAAACGAAGGTTTGGTTCCATCAACAAATGCTTGCACTTCGAGAAGTTTAGATACCAGTGACTGAATGTTTGTGTAGCACACCGACACCTCGGTTAGCAGTTTTTTGATACAGAAGATTGCTGTGCAACAATATTGACAATGGATGGTCTACCCTTGACATATTTAATCGTGATATTGCGTTCTCCAGCCGTTAGCCTTCGTTTCAACTCCTCACGTAGTTGCTGCAGCTCATGCATTTGTGACGGTGTTTTGTCGTCCAAAATTTTAACGGAGTTATAGGTAGAGTGGCTTAAAATATCATTCTTCTTGCGTAGAATATTCTTAGCTATTATAGGCGATGCAAAGCCAACCTTTATCAACCGAGGACGAGATGTACCTACAGCACCAAGTCTGGTCATGTTGAGGCGGTATCCATTAGCAGACGGTTCGATGTGGTTGATTATGTCTGTTACGGAATCAGAATCATTGTTGCCTTCAGGAAGACCTTTCAGGATAATATTGTGAGATCGTCTGAATATTTCCCAAGTTTCAGTCGGAGATGATGGGATATTGTTAGCGTTGGTATTCAACGATCTATCATTTACCAGTGCATTGGTCAGTCTAGATTCAACGTTCGAAATGTTGGATAAGATAGATGCTTGCGCACTTTGGAGTTGCTGAATACTAGCCTCACAATTAGAGATCAGTTCGTCATGGCGAACAATAGAAGCCGAATGCTGTTGTAGCAATGACATACAATGGGAGACATCGTTGCTTAGTTGTGCTTGTGAGTTTTTGATGTCTCTAATGTCATTGGCCATGGTCGACAATTGACACAAAATGAGTGCTAGAGGATCAGAAGCAGTCGCTTCGTCAGACCGATGAGGGGAGACCGCTGGTCGAGCACTAGTTGATGAGGACGACGAGTTGCTACGAGTGACTCTACCACGTCTACAGCATGCTGAACAAACCCATTTGTTGTCACCGTTTTCGGCGAAATAGCCGATCTCTTTAGTGGTCAGGTTAACACAATTAGCGTGGTGACTTTTCAGGCACTTGGAGCATAGGATATGCACTTGAGAAGTGCCAATTAATTTGGAACATGTAGCGCAATCTTGGTTCATTGTTAATTATCAACAAGTTATAGGAAGGGAGAGGGTACAGGAAGACGCACTTCACTCTATTGGGTCGATAATAGAGACTCACACACAAAGAGGTAGACCACGGATAGGATAAGGAATAGAAATAATGAAAGGAATCGTCTCAGAGCCTCCGTGAGTAGACCATGCATTTAGTATTGACATCGCAAAATAAATTTCTATAAAA